CCACTTTCCTGCAGAGATTTGATCCAACCCTGATAAAACTCACCTGCCTGTAGCTTTCTAGTAGTCTTGAAGACAATGATTAGCTGGTTCAGGTGTGTTTGACTAGAGTTGGAGCTAAACTCTGAAGGAAAGTGACCTGGAAGGGCCAAGTTTGCCCACCCCTGATTTAGATGATGTAAAAAAGTCCATTACTCATTTAATATGGGTTACAGACTGACATTAAGTACACAGTCAATGGCAGAATACCAAAAAGGTTGTGTGGTTTATATTTAAAGTTTGCTCACCACTGGCAACTGCACACAGACCTGTCCCTCCCATCCTATTCTCATAGCAGCAGCTGTGAAAATTCCCAACAGTATTCCAGCCAGTAGGACACTTCCGTTGGAATACTAAGCTTGAATCATTTGAGATTTTTGCTATGTTGTAAACAAGCACACTTGTGATTGGATAAACAATATGCGATTCTATGAAAGTCTGGTTATTTTAGTTAAAGGTTATTATTTAAACATGTAAGCTAAGGAAACAGGAGTCTGAAAGACTCAACAAACTGCCTAAAATACCAGAGCTGACTTGGGGAAGTAAGTAGGAGTCTCAAACCAATCGTTGTGCTCAGACATCCAGACCCTGCAATTAGGAATGTGCAGTCACGGGTATGTTTAAACACACACAAACAGGCTTCCAGTTTGGCAGAAACCCGGTTACACATGTGAACAGCTCACTGACACTGACAGAGCAGGAAAAAAAAAAGAGTCAAGTCGTTCACGTGACAAACACGATGACATCATTTCAACAAAATCTAGGACACAGAGGGAGGAGAGAGATAGCAAGGAGGACAGTGGGAGGGGGGTTCATGGTACCATGCAACACTATAGGCCCAGTCTGATAGCATCTACTGTGTGATTGTATCTGCATTCAGATATTTTATACTTTAAAGCGCAGTGTTCACAAACTCAACACTGTAAAAAAAATGTCAGGTATCCTAAAAGTGTGCTTCATGTGGCCCCTGATGACAAAAACAGTTGAACCCGGTTTTAGCTGGTTTGTGCTGGTGTCTCAAACCAGCTACAATTATTCAGTATTAGTCACAAATTTGACCTCAGCTATACTTAATGACTGAATCAGCTTCATGTAATTTTATTTTGTCAGAGTCGCAGGCTATGCTGTTCAGTAGTAAATGGCACTACTGTGTAGGCCTACATCATACTCAATTTCATTATATCATTTACAATATATCTACAGTAAACTACAGAAAACCTCAGGCCATTTTCATATAATCATTGATTACAGGTTCAATAACACATTGGAGAGAAATGAAAGGTTAAATTAATGCAGTTTTTAGGAAATACAAGTGTATTTCCTACAGTTCCTGTGATATTTTTTCATTCAGCACTTCTAATGCTTAAAGGGATAGTTCACCCAAAAATGAAAATTCTGTCATTAATTACTCACCCTCATGTTGTTCAAAATCCGTAGGACCTCCGTTCATCTTCAGGAACACAAATTAAGATATTTTTGATGCATTCTGAGATAGGGCTGTGCGATATAACGATATATATATATCAGATGGACGAAATAAAAAGTATATCGTTTCATATTATGCTCTATCGTTTATTTCGTGGTGTCACAAAATACATTGTTTACGGTAATATGTTTTCATCATTTGGATGACTGCGATCTTACACGCCACCACCGTGTGAAGGGGAGACAGAAGCAGGTGGAGATCAAACGACCAGCCAGGACAAAACGAGGAGCTAGCCATCTGTAGCATGGATACGCGGTTTTTAGCACTGCAGTTTTAAAACAACCGATTTTAAGCCGTTGAAACACAAACAACAGAGCTATATGCGTGCGCCGTCTCTGTTTCTGTGTGAGAGGAGCGCGCATTTTTTTGCCACTTTATTGGCTTTGAAAGAGTACATAAACACACTTATATGCGTCAGAATCCCAGTCTTTGCAAGTATCATTATAAACACATTGATTTAGGTCTTAAGAGAGAGTAAACAGCTGAAAAAGAAAACGCATATATAACAGTATATTGGATCCAGAGCTGTCTAATATTCGTCCTGTCTGCCATTCATATTAATCAAACAACAGTGAGATTTTCTCTCACTGCTCTTGATTAAATCACTTTTGTAACTTTAATAAGAAGAAATTAAAAAATAATGATATATTTATATATATGTATAGAATACATAATACACTTGTTAATTCTATCGATCTATCTATCTATAGATAGATAGATAGATAGATACAATTAACTGAAGACTAATTAATTTACACAATGTATGTAGCGTTTCTTAGTTATTGTAGTTTTTTGTCCTATTGCTTGCAATTAGTTTCTTATCCTTATTTCATCACTGACTGTTTATTTATCTTCAGTGAGCTTGAGGTTTTTTTAAAAGGCTTGTATTAGTTTGATATTGACATTGGTGACAAGGATTATGAAAATTCTATGGTATCAAAGATTTTAATATCATAAAAAACCTTTTTAAAAGAAAAAAATAACTATATTGTGATATATATCGTTATCGTGATATAAAATGAGTCATATCGTGATATAAGATTTTGGTCATATCGCCCACCCCTATTCTGAGAGCTCTCTGACCCTCCCAGTACCTACATGAAGTGGGGGCCCCATGCAGGCAAAATTAATCAGTGAGACCCTTCTAAAAGATATATATTTTTTGAATGTATCTTTGTTACCTAGTGATATAATTATACAACATATGAAATGTGGACAAAACACATCTAACAGTATATAATGCACAAAACAAGACGCGCGCTCTCTCACTCGGATGTGCACGCTCAAACCTGTGCACTCAAATCTATAAAATTGTCTTCTCTCCTGAAATGAATGTTGCCAGAAGCCCATCAACCACCAGACTTTCATGACTGACTGATGAAATAACAGAGTACCTTTAAATTACGGATCTATCTTTGTTAGCATTTTCAAGCTGATTTTGGTCAGTGAATTCTCGTTATTTATTTTATTATTTAGCCTAATAGTTATTTGAATTAAGTGCCTATTTGTTTTTGTTAATGTATCTTTGTTACCTAGTGATATAATTATACAACATATGAAATGTGGACAAAACACATCTAACAGTAGCCTATATAATGCACAAAACAGGACGCGCGCTCTCTCTCACTCGGATGTGCACGCTCAAACCTGTGCACTCAAATCTATAAAATTGTCTTCTCTCCTGAAATGAATGTTGCCAGAAGCCCATCAACCACCAGACTTCCATGACTGACTGATGAAATAACAGAGTACCTTTCAATTACGGATCCATCTTTGTTAGCATTTTCAAGCTGATTTTGGTCAGTGAATTCTCGTTATTTATTTTATTATTTAGCCTAATAGTTATTTGAATTAAGTGCCTAAATAGGTATTTATTGAATTAATTTATGTATATCAGCAAGTGAACGAGTTTGCGGCGAAGCTCATGAAAAGAATGGTTTGTTTAGTTGTGTATTTGTAGTCTGTGCGTTTCTCTTCGCGAGACACGAATAATATATTTTGTGTAGCCTAATGAATTCAAGCACAATATCGAACGGAGAAAAAAATATTTATCATTTTTAATTAATTAGGCTGTAAAAATGGGAATGTTAAAATATTTAAGGCACAGTTGTTGCATGACAACTATAGCCCGTTATCATTTGCTCATGGAAACAATGATAAATAAAATGTTTTATATTTGGTTTGGAGTGGAATAGAGTGTGGGCAGAAACATAAATTGGTGCCTATGCTTACCGTTGCCCTGTTTCCTCTTTTCCTCCTCTTTTTTCGATTCAGGCTGCCTGATAGATTTGTCCTCTTTTTTATGTTTAACGTGCGTGTTTATGTGTGTGTGCGCCAACTTTTTCAGTTCATTCCTAAATTGCGCAAGCTCAAAAACGCTCGGGTCCCGCGTTCTGCTCTGCTCCAGATCATGCATTTTCTTATCTACAGCACCGCGAGGACGCGCTGCACCTATTTTAAAAAGGCGGCAGAGGAGGCAAAAGCATAACCAGTGTATCGAGAGAGGGGTCCCACAGGGTGAATGGAGTAGAGCCCTGCATTTCAGCCCGGGCCCAACGGGCCCCGACTTTTTTACGCCCCTTCGGGCCAATTTTCACGTCATAGTTCAGACGCGGGCCTCGGGCCTGTTTTAGGCTTCTCCTTATTTTTATATTTTAGACATCCATCAATTAGTGATGACAAAATTGCCGCGCTGGTGGAAACAAGACTAGACCGTGCTACCGCGACTATAAGAGCTGCTCACGGTGTTTATTGTCCCGCCAGCAGCAGCATGTAGCCTATGGTGCGTGCAGTCAGCGCAGCTGAACAGTTCTCCGTTCATATGCACGCAATAGGCTTAAGCTCGCCGCAAAGCATCGGCAAAAGTAATTACCATAAATGTGTCAGGGGGAAAGAGGAAGGAGATATTTGAATTATTTACTAATAAATAGTTCTGAGTCGGTGTCACAAGGATGAAGTTGCCGATCCTGACTCGCCACCTCTTCATTAGACGAGACTTTAGAGAGAAGTGCATCTTTACGGATTATGATTATGATAATGAAAGAGTTTTTGTTTTCGATTTGTTTTAGGTAGTAATTTAAAGCTTTCTATAGATATATTTATCATGTCTGTGAGGCATGTATTCGCTGAGTTTCGGTTCATTTTTGTGAAGCGCTCAAGACTAGACGGCAGAAAGCACATCATGTTTGTTTTCTTTATTTTATAAAAGCACAACGTTTTGTTGATATTGTGAGTGCACACAAATAAAAGTAGACCCTTTTGTTTCGTGTGTTTTGATTGCTTGCGTGAAAGGAAACGTGTACAAACGTAAAGATGACAACAGGTTTCAATATCCATCACATTATGGGATGAATACCAAAACGACAAATAAAGAGACATCAGATGTGCATTGCACTGATTTATATCGGTCACTACCGGCTGCGTTTGATCTCCCTTCCTCGTTTCGACGTCAGGCTCTTTCTAGCTCCTCCTCCTCTTCATCCTCAACTGACTGCCTCAATCTTGGACAGTGTACTCACAGTATACTCCCAACAATAAAGAAATTTCCTGCCTGTTGATATTCGCCTCATCGCTCCATCCCCTCCAGAACAATGGTGAGTAGAATATTTTTTCTTTGCTTTTCAAATTAACGACGTGCCAAAGGTTCTTGGCCATAAATGTGCGTGTCCTTCAATCCTTGTCTGTTATTTTTTCAAAGCAGCTCGAGCTGCTTTTCTTGGTCATTCAGCGCGCGTCCTTTGCTTAAAATGGAGGTAAACTCGCGACATTGCAACAACGTAACGCCGCGAAAGATTTTTTTTAACAAGTAATCTTAGGTATTGTAATGCACAGAATGATACATTTAAAAATACTATTCGTACTACATGCATTCAGTTTATAAATGCCTTTGCAAACGCCTACAGGATTATATTCATCCATCCATCAATCCATTCATTCATTCACCCATCCATAACGGTGCCTTCAGAATATGTTTGAAAATATGCGTTGTTTTTCAAATGCTTTTATAAATGACACGATCGTGAGTTTTTAATGATGCACATTATTACACAGTGAAACATTTCACATCAATTACATTTAGTAGTACACCTGTTTTGAAGGTGCATCTCCAAAACCACCTTACATGAAATATTTTTTGACATATGCATGTGAAATTATGAGCCCGGTCTCATGAAAATGCGTATAGTACGCCAAATAAAAACGAAAACTCGTGGTATTGATACGCAAAAATGGACTTTGGCGTGCATATGATACGAAATTTGTTGGCGTGCATGTGATACGCATATACCCCACAACCCTAAACCTACCCGTCGCGTAGCATATACACGCCAAAGTCCATTTTTGCGTATCAATACCACGAGTTTTCGTTTTTATTTGGCCTACTATTTATACGCACTTTCATGAGATCGGGTTGGAAATTATAGCCAAAATAGTATGCATTATCTCTATCTCAGATATTAGGCTATATATACACGATATAATAATATAATATTAATATTAAATAAAAAATGGCAGCTTAATTAAAATCACAATGTATTATAGTTAATAAACGTGACTTAATATCTTAAAAAAAAAATGCACAGATGGATTTTTTTTGTCACAAGCTCTCTGTCATCAGAGATTGACATAGAATGTTCTTGAAATTTGCATCCACCCCTCCTCCCATCCACATGAGAAGTAAACTGGGTGGGGACTGCAGCTGTCTGCAGAAGCTCATGTCTGGCCTGTGCAGCAGATGATTGGATTTCTATTCCTGTTCTGTTCCAGCTGTTATTGTCTCCATTGAGATTTTACATTAAATGCTTTCATGCATTTCATTATTTTGCAAAATTAGTTTTTATTCAATTTCTGGGACCTGTCTTTTTTCATCACGCTGTCTCTTAGGGAACAGTGCATCTAAATATTAGTGGTGACCAAATATGAAAATAAAGAAAAATGTTAATTTAAAAACCCATATTCATCAAGCAACATTCTGGATTCCCTTCAAATGGTGTTACAGCCATTGAGAAAATTCAGTTTCTGCTTCTAAAAACCTACTTAAAATAAATATTGTTCCTTTATTGAAATCCATAGTCTTATGTAGACCGTTGAGATGACATAAATGGGAAAAGGTGGATTTCTGTCAACATTTTTATTGTTCTCTTTCAACGGCTAGTCAGGCACGGTCTGGCAAGCCTGTACTATGTGGGTGGGGCATCTGCCTTGTTCCCATTCTGCTGCCTCATTCCCTTTGAATAAAGAGAACTGACTGCTTTCTTTGTTCTTCCTTTTTGGTAACCTACTAAATCTTTATCATGCCAGTTCACTTCTTGTATGTCTGTCCTTAAGATAAATATCATTTTGCAGGTGTTTACAATGCATTTATGATTCCAAAGAAAGACTTTTAGACGTTTATGGTACATTTCTGAAGCAATGTCAGTTTTGTGTCTATTGTTATACCCAAAATATTAAACACATGCAAATGTTAACAGAATGATGGTGCAAAAGAAGCCTTTGTGTATGTTTTGAGAGCCAACAACCTAATAAAAAAGATTTTCCCATTCCTTTGCACAGCGTGAGTGCATCTCTATCCACGTTGGTCAAGCTGGAGTCCAGATCGGCAATGCCTGCTGGGAACTCTATTGTCTTGAACACGGCATCCAGCCAGATGGGCAGATGCCCAGCGACAAGACCATTGGAGGAGGTGATGACTCCTTCAACACCTTCTTCAGTGAGACCGGAGCTGGAAAGCACGTCCCCAGGGCTGTGTTTGTAGACCTGGAGCCCACTGTCATTGGTAAGAGGATGGGACTTAATTTTAGTGATGATAATTCTGTATGTCAAAGCGCTCCGTTCGCTATACATTGACCATCTTTCCAGATGAGGTGCGCACTGGTACATACCGTCAGCTGTTTCACCCTGAGCAGCTCATCACTGGAAAGGAAGATGCTGCCAATAACTACGCCCGTGGTCACTACACTATTGGAAAGGAAATTATTGACCTGGTGCTGGACAGGATTCGCAAACTGGTAGGTAGTTGTAAATAAATGAACATAAAATGAATTATATATTATGTTGGGTTAATTTCCAAACTGTTTCTTTTCAGGCTGACCAGTGCACAGGTCTCCAGGGTTTCCTGGTGTTCCACAGCTTTGGTGGTGGAACCGGTTCTGGCTTCACCTCTCTGCTGATGGAGCGTCTGTCTGTGGACTATGGCAAGAAGTCCAAGCTGGAGTTCTCCATCTACCCCGCTCCTCAGATCTCCACCGCTGTGGTAGAGCCTTACAACTCCATCCTGACCACCCACACTACCCTAGAGCACTCTGACTGCGCCTTCATGGTAGACAATGAGGCCATTTACGATATCTGCCGTAGGAACCTCGACATTGAGCGTCCGACTTACACCAACCTCAACAGGCTGATCAGTCAGATTGTGTCCTCCATCACAGCCTCCCTCAGGTTTGATGGTGCCCTCAATGTCGATCTCACCGAGTTCCAGACCAACTTGGTGCCCTATCCTCGTATCCACTTCCCATTGGCTACCTATGCCCCAGTGATCTCCGCAGAGAAGGCTTACCATGAGCAGCTCTCTGTGTCTGAAATCACTAATGCTTGCTTCGAGCCAGCCAATCAGATGGTGAAATGCGATCCGCGTCACGGCAAGTACATGGCTTGCTGCCTGCTGTACCGTGGTGACGTGGTGCCCAAAGACGTGAACGCCGCAATCGCCACCATCAAGACCAAGCGCACCATCCAGTTTGTGGACTGGTGTCCCACTGGTTTCAAGGTTGGCATCAACTACCAGCCTCCCACTGTGGTTCCAGGTGGTGATCTGGCTAAAGTGCAGAGGGCCGTGTGCATGCTGAGCAACACCACAGCTATTGCTGAGGCCTGGGCTCGTCTCGATCATAAGTTCGATCTGATGTACGCCAAGCGTGCCTTTGTGCACTGGTATGTGGGTGAGGGTATGGAGGAGGGCGAGTTCTCAGAGGCCAGAGAGGACATGGCTGCCCTGGAGAAAGATTATGAGGAGGTCGGCGTTGATTCTGTTGAGGGTGAGGGAGAAGAGGAGGGCGAGGAGTATTAAAATGTTCACTAAAAACAGTAGACCGGTAATTTACACACGATATACATGAGGTATCAAGTGTAAAGTCTACTCCTAAATGTTAGACACATTCTTGATAAGTTGTTATTTGTGGAATTTATTTGCCAAATTTTGACTGAATAAATTGATGGTGATGTAAAAAAAAATCTGTCTGTGTGCAGTTCTTTAAAAATCTTTCTTGTGGATGTTAATATAAGCTGACGGTTTTAAGTAATTCCAGGCATTCAAGAGAAGTAATCTGCTGACTAACCAGTTTCCACAGGTCAACTGATGGCCTTTGACAGGTTTGGCTTCCAACCACTTCGGCTGAAGGAAAAGTAGATTAGTAGTCACTCAGCAGTCGGTATTTAGGGCATTATTGTTTTTTAGGGAGGTGCAAATGAGTTACAGCAGTGGTATGCTAGAGAAATTAACAATTGTGCTTTGTTTTTTTATTGCTGAAGAGTGTTTCTTCTCCTGCGTTCTACTGTACAGACGTGAATTTACTTTTGCTTCAGCCTGAGGTTTATTCATTACACTTTTTGGTGTGAAAGGGCTTTTATATAAATAGAACTTCTTATATTAAAAACAAATCAAGCCCTGCTTATATTTAAAAAGTAACACAAAAGTAATATAACGCATTACTTTCCATAAAAAAGTAACGTAATTAGTTACTTTTTTTAGGGAGTAATGCAATATTGTAATGCATTACTTTTAAAAGTAACTTTCCCCAACACTGTATATATAATCCAGAAAATCTGCCACCAATGTCTAAGATGAAAAAAGGCCAGAAAGTAATAGCAGCTTTTGTGATATTTTATTCAATTGCTTGAAAAATGCTTGTTGGCCAATTTTTTTTTCTTCAAATTAAAATTACAGTACAGAATTCTATGTAATGTAATTAAAAACATGCCTTTGTAGAAAAAGGATTTGGGTTCAAATATGTGTATAAAAGTATACAAAATCTCAATTCAAATATTTAAAGAGTAAAAAAAAAGGGTTAGATGCTTTTACGCTATTCAACATAGTGCTAATGTAACTTTAAATTTGAATTTTGAAGGTTTTAAAGGAAAATTTACACTACTCCTTTTTTCTGATCTACCGTCTGCTGTTTCATCAGGCTCCAGAAGAGCACTGGCATTGAGCTCATGCCAGTGTCTTTGGATTGGCATGCAGCAGCATCCTCAGTCAGCCTTTGATACCCTTTAAGACGCCTAGAAAGTTGCAAAACCAAGGCCAGTTAGTGCTTTCCAACCAGTTTTACCAGTTAATGTTCACAATAATTTGATTACTGATTAAACTTTAGGAAATCTAGAGGAGCAGGTTGAAAAATTAATTATAATTCATGAATAATTCATGCCAGCTGACTAAATCAGTGCATGGATATTATGCTGTATTGGAATGACTTACTTATATGCAAAAGCCACAGCACCTATTGCTGATATGATGGTCAGGATGGACAAAAGGGCAGCGGCACCTGCAGATGTCAACCTGGAACCTTCTAAATGTTGCAGAGAAATAGAGACATGTAAGATGAATGAACAGCACTGCTATCATTTTGGAGCACCATGCTTTATGTTTCAACCGTAAATAAATGAACTCACCTATGTTAATATTAACCCTAGCATTTGTGAATTCCAAACTGACATCATTTGTCATTGACACGTTGACACAGAAGATCCCAGAGTCATTGAAGTAGTGTCGAAGGATAAGTTGGCAGTCTGAGGAGGGGCTAACAGCATTGCAGATGGTCGTAACTGGCACATGGCAATCAGCATCTGATACTACAGTGCACACTTCAGTGGGGAGGCTAGAAAGAGGAGGTAAGGTCGTGAATTCTCCATCAGGCTGTATTCTGTGGTTCCAGCTAAATTTTTTTTGCCAGATCTCACCTTCCTTGGCAGGAAACAGTGAAATCAACAGCATTCTGCTCCATTTCTGTTAGCAGAAAACCATCAGGTACAGCCACCTGGACGATCTGCACACTCTCAATGCCCTCTGAGAACACAAACTTACATTACTCTTCAATATAAAACATAAAATTGAATGCTGTTGAAGGGAGGAATCTCACCAATAATCTCAATATTAGCTGAGAAGGATCCATAGCGGTAAATCACGCAGTCATTTGTGTTTGGAGCCGGACGCTTTATTATGGATACATGGGCCTGGTTTTCAATGTAGTCTTCCTCCGCCGTCGCCTCCCTGTCAGCGGCTGGTGTTTCGGAAATGTGTGTTTAAATTTATATTAATATATTATTTTTGTATTATATATATATATATATATATACACACACACACAGTATTCATGTTTTCTGGTTTTGTTTTTAATAATATATAAAGTTAATTAACATTTTTACATAAATGCATTTACATAGTATATAATTTATATGAATTATATTAACTGACATTCAAAATATCTCGTAACTGCAACTCACCAGTTGCCCTCAGTGTTGTCTTTGTTGCAGTATTCATGGTTTCAGACATCTCAGATGCAGATCTAAGATCAAAGACCTTCTCAAGGCTGGATCTTGTTGGAACTCCATTTGTAGGTGCTGGTTGAATAGTTTTCATTGTAGATGCAGGTGTGGATTTCTGAATGGGAGCTGAAGACTTACTAGTAGCATGATCTGTTGAATCATGAAGTAAATGATAAGTACTGTGACTTCTACTCTGGCTGGAATTAGCTTTGATTGTTTTCTATGTCATGCTCTCTAATATTTCACACAGGCATAGCCAAATAAACAGTCAAATGTTGTTAGAGAGATTTTTTATTTTTCTTGCCCCATTGGCAGATATTTTTACTTGTTTTAAGCAAAAACGATAAAAATTTGGATATTGTTTTTCAGAAAACAAGACATAATATCTTAAGTCATTTTACTTGTCAAGTAAATGCATCCTGATTCAAGAATTTGTAGATATTTATACTAGAAAACAAGACAAAAATACTCAGTAGACCCCTCCCTCCTTAAAGGGATAGTTCACCCAAAAATGAAAATTCTGTCATTAATTACTCACCCTCATGTCGTTCCAAACCCCGTAAAATCTTCGTTCATCTTCGGAACACAATTTAAGATATTTTTGACGAAATCTGAGAGCTTTCAGACCCTCCCATAGACAACAAGGGTCCATACACGATCAAGACACAGGAAAGTACCAAGATGATCGACAAATTAGTCCATGTGATATCAGTGGTTCAACTGTAATGTTACGACGCTACGAGAATACTTTTTTGCGCAAAGAAAACAAAAATAACGACTTTATTCCACATTTTCGTCTCTACTGCGTCACTTGTGAACACATACGTATGGCGCTACTGGGCCCGAGTATAAACAAGGCAACGTCAATGTTCAACGTCAACACGCTCGCGTCATGGTACTGCCATGAACGCGCGTCCACAAGTGACGCAGTAGAGCGCAAAAAACTATTCTTGTAGCGTCGTAACATTACAGTTGAACCACTGATGTCACATGGGACTACTTTGTCGATCATCTTGGTACTTTCCTGTGTCTTGATCGTGTAAGGACCCTTGTTGTCTATGGGAGGGTCTGAAAGCTCTCAGATTTCATCAAAAATATCTTAAATTGTGTTCCGAAGATGAACGAAGATCTTACGGGTTTGGAACGACATGAGGGTGAGTAATTAATGACAGAATTTTTGGGTGAACTATCCCTTTAAATATGTGTTTTAAAATTGCAAAAAAATAAAATAAAAATAAATGTTAATTCTAGTAATAAGGCAACTTTTGTACTATTTTCACAACTGTAACCAGCCAAACCATGCAGTGCACCTGCAGTGATGCGTTCATTCAGGCGGATGGGGCTCTCAGAGGTGAGGGTGTTGGTGGTGGGACGGGCCTCAGTGGGAATGTTTGGTGGAGTGGCACAAGATGAATCCGGAATAGCTGCTTGTACGACAACTTGGGGCTTGAAAGCTCCAGCTGCAATGTAGGTATGTGTGACGGTGAGTTCCCTGGAGATGACAGTGCCACTGCCATCCCCGAAGTTCCAGTTAAAAGTCACGTCTGATTTGCTCAGGTATTGGCTGGGGTCGTGAAGGGTGATGCTGAAGGCCACTGCTCTGTTCTGGATGAATTTCCGATCACCTTCATCTTTGTCATTCACCTGCGTTAGGGAAACCGCAAAGGGAATCTGGTCTAGAAACACAGGGATTAAATATATTGCATTACTTAAACCGTAAAACCATAACTTGTTATTAAAAGATTAACATTGAGTTATGCTTACCGGTGATACTGAACTGTGTGGATGCATATCCAATAGGGATGAATTTCTCTTTTTGCCTGTAGTGATAAATGACAACATCCATCATGTAAGAGCCAAGAGGAACGTCATCAGTTCCGATGGTTAATGATGAGGAAGGGCCGTCGCACACCTGCCAGTATTTACCTGTCAAACACAATAGAGGATTGTCAGGAACGTTAGATAACTGCATATAACAGTACAGTAAGTGCTTCTTTCCTTACCCCAGGTTTTCCACACAAGCACATATGGAGGTTGCTTGTCCCCTTGTCTAGAAAGGAGAGGAGAATTAGGGAACACAGCGTTCCATTCATCTACAGAGTTCTCCTCAGGATAGACAGGCTCATCCTTGTGGAACTGTGTGCCTAAATTAGAAAAGTTGCCATATTTGTGCATTATGTTTAAGCTAAATACAACTACATTTGCCGGTCATAGTGCTGGCAGCAGAATGTAAATAGATTTCATCTTTGTAATAGAGTGAGATGAAGATGACAGAAACATACCATTTATTGTGCAGTTTTTGGCCCAAACAACTTGTCCATCTGGCAGGACCTTCTGGTTGTGAGGGAACACAATGTCAATGGTGAAGGTGATTTTGGCACCAGTCAAAGTGGGTGCATCATTTCCCACATCAAACTTCAGTTGACCACCTGTAGAAATGTACATTTATGCTTTTTTAATGTACTGATGCTTTTATCCATACTCTACACACACAAATAAAGGGTAGTGATGCCATAGAAGAACCATTTTGGGTTCCTCGAAGAACCTTTCAGTGAACGGTTTTTAAAAGAACCTGTGTGAAGTGTGGAGAGCATTTGAATAATCTGAAGAACCTTTTTTTTTAGCATATAAAGAACCTTTTGTACAATGGAAAGGTTTCATGGATGCTAATGATTCTTCATGGAACCATATGCAAATAAAGAACATTTAGTTTTAAGTTTTGGGTTACCCAAAGAACCTTTCAGTGATCTTAAAAGAACAATTTTTCTTAGTGTGAAGAACATTTTAATAATCTAAAGAATCTTTTCTGACTAAGGATTTTTTTTTTTTGTCCAAGGATGTTAAAGGTTCTTCATGGAACCAAAGAAGCCAATAGAACAACATTATTTTAAGAGTGTACATCAAATTATTCATCAAAAATAATTAATATGAATTAATTAATTCATAAAAAAAACTAATCAAAGTGTATTCAAGATAAAAAAAAATTGATCGGGTCATGCACTCCCTTTAAATCAAACCCATGACTTTGAGCTACAGAAATGCTACTGAAAAAAGTGAGCTAAGACTACAGTTGAAAATATTACTTTTTTTTTTTACATGTTGATGCAAACATACAGTGTAGAAAATCTGGCTCTTTCTTTCCTTCTTTCATGACTGCATTTTATTACCTGTCCAGCTGTTTTTCTAGCGTGGGTCTCCATCTTTCCACACTGGAAACCGTTTTGTATTCCATGTCTGATATTGATTGAATCTGGATTTCGAGTTGCTTCTGTCGACTTGTCCTTATGCAGAGGAAAATAAAGGGAAATTGAAATAAAATTATTTAGCGAAAACGGTAAATTTGAGAGTAAAGGCACTGGAATTTTCCACAAACTTTGAAGTCTACAATTGGTGAAGGGATTGAGAGGCGGGGCATGTGACCGGATCAAACGTTCAGCACGCTTTCTGCAGTGTTACCCCAAATCCTGTGCATGTGATGGTCAGCTGTCCATGTGACCATACTTTCGCTTTACTGCATAAAGCAGGGGCTTGCTTTTAGAGCACATAGGTTAAACATAACTCAAAATCAGAATGCAATGCTACAATTATGAACGGTTGAAACTCAGTCAAAACCATTGCATTATGGGTATTAAAACCATTACAGTAATGCACTTGGTCTATGTTGTATTTTTTTCAAGTTATATAATGTATTATTTCTTATTTGATCTGATTAGCTAACGCATGTTACGACTGATCTTGGAAATTCCCAGACATTCTCGTGCATGTGCCACATTGTTACTGAACTTTGAATGACTATAAGGAGGTCAAGGAGATCAGGACATTGTCATGCATCATTAAATCTGCCTGAGGGTTTAGGAATTTTAGTAGTGCAGGTTTTAGCTGAAATAATAAACTATTATCGTTAACGGACTTTCCTGACATCCAGTGTTCTTTTGAATGCAGTTAAAAGAACTCTGCACTAAGCATAATATATGTTTAGTGAAATGCAATATACAAGAATATGATGCTGTGGCTATTGGATACAGTTATTATTAGGCTACATAACACAATAAATATATAATATTGAAACATTTACTTACTTGTTAAAGCCACAGACAAACAGGTCAGTATCAGTATTCTTGAAAGTAGCTTCATTGTGTCACTTTGTTGTTGGCACCTTAACGACTTCCAGCCTCAGAAGCATCGCTCTTTATATAGACGCGTCCTACATCTGGGGCTGAAAGCTCCTCCCGTCACTTAAGACCATGCATGCGTGCACACACATAAATGTGTAATATTCTGTTGATGCTGCGCAAGAGAGTTATCAGATTAAGATTCGATTAATTATTAATTATACTATTTGATTAAACTAATTTATTAATTGGCCTGATTAGTCATGTGCAGTTTGTAGAGCCTGATTTTTAGTTAAAATATCCAAAGAACCATAGACATTTTAAAACAATTAAAAATGGAAAAAATATATATAAAAAGTATATAATAATTCTGAACCGTAGTGCTGCAAATAACCACTGAATCACTTCTTTATTGATGTTTTTAATAGTGTAAAATGGTTGATTTGCCATCTTTTTTTTACTTTGTGGGTCACATTGAGATTACAAACTCTTTTCCAGGCTGAGCTTATTTTAATGAGGAACGTAGTTAGAGAGAATGCTTACATCAGTGGACCTGTGTGTGGCTGGACATCTGACGCTTTTGAAAGCTTTGTTTCTTAATTGGGTCAGTGGCCATAAGCATCTTATGTTTTTTTTTGTTGCTACATCTTAACATTTTTAATAGCCTAACAAATGCATTTTGAGATTTGGTCCTAAAAATAAACATGAATGCTAATTTTGAGATGTGAGTGAAAAACAATGTTATATGCAAATGGAGGGAAATTGTGCTGGATATACTGTAGACGGCTGGTATAGTATCAGAGTCATGCGAGACCAAGGATGGCTGACTCCAAGAACAATAGAGTCTGTTCAGGTCCGAGTGCTCATTCACTAAATACTGCAAGAAGTATCTACATTTTGTGAATACTAATGCAGAGAGGTTAACGGGTTCGTTTTTGCACTGTAGTTCGGTGAATTACTTTGATATATGAGTAATATATGTTTTTTTGCATTTGACTAAGGATGGGGGGAAATGCTCTTAATTATCAAAAGTAATTGCACAATGCAAAACATCTTAATCGCACATTAATTTTGCTTCATTACTTTTACGCAAAATATAATTTACTATTTTTTCTTTTGATTTTGGGGTGAAATCTGCTTTATGGCTTACTCTAATTCAGGCAACGTTCCATATTAAGGCGTCAATAAAACAATAAGTTACACATTACGGCTAGACAAAAATGTCTGGAATGGAAAGTTAATTAGGATTACGGCAGCTCTTGTGACTTTTTGGTTTACCCAGATTTTTGGCTTTTCGGCATCCTTACAAAAACTAATCCGATTTTCAGAATTGTTCTAAGTAGCCACATTTAACATTCCTTGTTTATTCTTGTATCTCTTTATTCCAGCACTGAATTCAAAGGCAAACCATGAAGGTGTTGAATCCGTGTATCATTCGATCATTCGTTTTTTGATTTAATATTGAAAACATCAGGTGGAAGCAAAACTGGTCAACTTGTCGTATAAAAATCTGAAAAGTGAATTTACTGCAAGAAGCATGAGTAGAACGTCTGTCACATTATTACAATTTACACTGCAATCGGTAAGAAAAACACCCACAAGTATGTCTCTCATAAAACATTATTTTACATCAACCACATTTATAAAAAGGAACCGAGTTCACGAAAATGCAAACCTGACAAGAAACACCCCGACAATTCAATTCAAAACCTGAGAGTTCATGTGGTACCACTAAAACACAGAAAACAGTATATACATTTGATAAAACGCTATATTCTTGAGACGGAGGTATATCGAAAAAACAGTGGTGACATGAATTGCATTGAACCAAAGTAGAAACCAGCAAACACAAAGCTAAAACATGATGGTAAACCTTCAAATTTTACTTAGGAACGATAAAACAGGGACAGGAAACGAGGAGTGCATCATATAGGGAATATATGCCAAAACAGATCTATTATAGCTTATAGTGTGCTTCATATAATTTCACAATGTTCCTGAAATGTTCCTCAACATCAACAGGCACAATCAGGAAAACGACTAAACTACGGCGGAATCCCTGCTAACATCTTATTAAAAGAATGCGGCATTAAAGTAAAATGTACTCTTGACCGTAGAAACTCCATTTCATGCTTCCACTTTTTTGTCTGTAAATAGATCAATGAAAGTCATGCCATTAATTCAGGACAGTTAGAGAAGTAATCTGCATTATTAACGGCATACAAAAACATGATCAAGCAAGATATGAATATGGAGACAATCTTGTTAAAGGTACAAACCGATTGGCTCAAAACATTTAAGTTCCCACCAGTTTTAATTTCATGAGTCAGGACCGGAACCGGATGGCTTATCATTGTCATTCCCAAACACGAAAAAACGACCTTGATGCAATCACAGGGTTAAACATAAGTGGAGGTATTACAACAAATAAACAGGAGCGGTCAGCATTTCCGCCTTTCGCTCTGCAAGTGTTGATTTGAGTGTTCAAATAGACAGATAACAAATACCTAACAGACCTTTGAAGACACGGCATTTTTAAAGAGACAGTCATCCAAAAATGAAGGTTGTCAAGGTTGTAATGTTTTTTTTTTTTTTCCAAAGAACGACAAAAAAGTTAGTTCCACTGAAAACTGGTGGAAAGATAATTCATTGGATTGTTTTTTTACCCATCACGGATTCATTTTCACTCAAGTTTAAAGGCCATTTATAAGTCAGTTACATCCTAAAATGACAAATAGCCTGTATCTGACAGCATTTGGGTTTGTGAAATAAAAAACTGAAATACAAGAATGAAATGAGTACAAGCTGGACATACAGTTGTGTATAGTGTATCATATATGAGCGTGATATTCTACAACCATTTAAAACAATGACTGCATCGGACTCTGAATCTAGAACCATAGGTCTACTACACACACTTTCCCGAAATTAGGCATATTTTGTTTTGGAAAAAAATGTAAAAATAGTCCATTTACAGAATTAATACAAAGCTGAAGGTTACAAAAATGACACCACAAATATTTACCAAACAAAATCAAAACATTACTTCAGTGACTGTTCATATATTAGAAACATACATTTTGATGCAAATATTGGGGATTCGTATGTCCATTCTCAAAACATACATGACGTGTCAAGTAAATACAGACTGGGAAGCAGGTTACAACAGTATAAAAATAAATCCAGATATCGTCTGACGCATTCAAGCAACGACTGCTAATAACTATGTTTTTTTTAAAAAAGGCTAATAATAAATACCATACTCGATAAAAAAGACATATATTTTTAGCAAGACATAAATCAATACATAAAACAAAAACATTTTCCTTTTTTTGCATTCAGTTACACTTTTTAAAGAGGACAATGGGCCCCTTTCATTCAGTAATACATACATACACTTAATTCCAATATGCTTTTCTGTTAGCGCTGATATAAAATTGAGCAACATCAAAAATAGTATGTACAATTTGTTTTCAATAAATAACATTTTTGCTTTTTTTTTTTGCAATATTTTGTTCTATTATAACATTATTGCCACAGATGGGTGTTGTGAACACACTCGCTCGCACAAAACGCAAGACAACATGAGGGCAAAGATTCACCAGGTGCATTTTTTGCCTTACATTACTCTGCTGTCAAACTCAATATCACAAAGTTAGATGCACAAAAGGAACCCAGGATTCCCAAGACGGCTGATTTGATCAGGCGGAAAGGGGTTTATTTGGGCAGTGGCGGCAGAGGTGGAGGTGGTTCTGAGGGTAAAGGTGGCGCCTGGGTTCCTCCGCGAGCGCTACTGCTATACCGATAGTCTCCGTACTGAGAGCGATAGTCAAACATCTGAGGTTGCGCCGGCTGAACGCCCTGCGCACTGAGCAGCGAGTTCAACATGTCAAACGTGTCCTGGTATTCGTTGGACTGGCTGCCTGTATTGTGTCCGTTCATGTCGGCTTTGTCCGACTTGGAGTGCGAATAGTTTCCCTGATGGTGCGAGAGGCTCAGCGAGGGAAGGATGTCGGACCCCTGACCCATCGCGTGGGAGGGCACTCCGGTAAGCGTCGGCAACTGAAACGAGTTTCTGGACGATTTGCTAACTTTCGAGAGATGGCTGCCGGAAGGAGGATCCGGCAAGTGGGTCCTTTTTCGGGATGATGACGACGAACTTGTTCGCACAGAATCACCCGAGACCTTTTTGCTACTTCCCGACGCGCTGGCAGAACTCGAGTGTTTTTGTGCTGAGGATGAGGAAGACGATGTTGATAAAGAGCCGGTGGCGGAAGAGGAGGAGTGGTGGTGGTGATGGCGATGATGGTGGTGGTTGGACCGCTCTCGGTGTTTCTCGCGATTTTTCCCATCTTCTCCGGAGCCACTTCGCCTTTCTGGAACTCGGATCCGCACTTTAATGTCCTGCTCGGATCCTCGACTGCTGCTACTGCTGCTGTGCCCCCCGCTGCCTGATTGGCCTGGCACTGGGAAGCGCATTTTTATGGAACTGTGTTCCGATCGCTCGTCCAGCGGGATCTTCAGGATGATAGGTGAGGGTTTTTTTAGGTCTGAGGAACTAGAGCTGGACTGCTGGTGGTGATGGTGCTTCTCCTTTCTCTGCTGGTTCATGAGGGCCTGGGCGGCAGTGGCGTATCCCTGTTTCACACTTGCCTCCATGTTCTCCAACTTCCGCTTCTGCGCCGCCAGCTCGTCTGCGTGTTTCACTCGATACTCGCTCAGAGACAACTTAGCAGGCGCGTGAAGCTCGTTGATAGTGGGCTGCTCCTTGGCAGGAGGCTGCCAGTGTTGGGATGAGGGAGCAGCGCTGTGGTCATCGGCTGAGGAGTCCATGGAGGAACCGGAGGGTGGGGCGGAGAGGCTCATCAACCCAGCCAACGTGCTGTCAGCCGATGCCATGGAGATCATATTCATAATGGCTTCTGACTGATCACCATCTTGCACTTTTGATTTCTTGGCAGTTTGACCTGCAGCCTGAGGCACAACAAACAAGAAAAAATTAGTATGAAATTTATATGGTCAGAACAGACTACTGATCAAATGTTTGGGGTTAGTAAGATTTTTTTCTTCTATTAATTAATATTTTTATTCAACAAGAACGCATTTTTAAATAAATGCCATTCTTTTGAACATTCTATTGATCAAAACATTCTGAAAAATCAAATGTTTACAAAAATATTAGGTAAACAGACTTACTTTCCAGTTTCTGATACGTTTTAAGCGGCTGGGCGTCTTCTCCAAGATCTGCAGGAACTCATGAGTGAGCTCTGTGAAATCATTAACAAAATCTTTAGGACTAGTGGAAAACATATTATTTGGGGAAAAAAAACCATTTAAAACACTAAATAGTTTCATTTCCTGGCTAAACCACAAAAATTTTGCCCACGGTTACACTGCAGCCCTACAAATGGGTGCTTATTAAAAATCATAATAAAACTGACTTTACATGTAAGCTGAACCAAATAAACAATGCTTCTAAATAATAAAACAAACATAAAAACATCCAAATCTCTAGCATTATACTTTCTCTCTATTACAGAGACAACTGCCATTTCAAAAGAAAATCACTTGCAAATACATACCATCCAACAGCTCAAGGGTCACCGTGGGGTCAACATACTCCCACCAGTGTTTGCTGTCTGTGGAAACCGGAATCTCCCAGTTGGACCATTTGCAGGCCAGATGAATACAAACACAAGCTACGATAGGCGGGCTGTACTGCAGGCAGAATGTAGTCAAGTGGAGACTGCAGCAAAAAGAGCACCCATGATTACAAAAAACACGAGAAAAAACAAGAAACCATTTAACACTACTGTCACTCTACAGTGATAAATACATACACTACCATTCAAAAACTTTGGGGTCAGTAAGATTTCTTTAATGAATGAATACTTATTTAATATATTTGACTGACCAAAAGTGACAGTAAAGACATTTATAATGTTACAAAAATTTTCAATTTCAAGTAAATGCTCTTCTATAACTTTCTATTCAGTATACAAACATATATTTCAAAAAGTGGTAGACTCCACTGCAATTCAACATTGGCAGCCATTTACTTCAAAAACAATTGTTAATTTTAGCATTTGTGATCTAATTTGTAGTAAAAAATGTAACCTTTGAAAAACTTGAAAATCAACATACCTGTTTGTTGCCATGAAGTATGAGGTCTGAGCTAAGTCTTTACTCGCTGGAAGAACAAATGGAAGGCTCATAATCAGACTTGAAATCTGTGAGCTTGGTGGGCTAGAAGAACCCATTACTGAGCAATACGAAGCACAGTTTACAGTGAGCAGCTGGTTCTCACCTCGCACAAGCTGGGTACACTTGACAACATGTGTGTGAGGATGATCAATGGTGATCTCAAATGCTGGAAGGAAGAGAGCAGATGAGAGAAAGGCTTTTAGTTTTTGGTTTGAACTATAATTACTCTTTAGAAGTGAAGCCCCCACACACAATTTACACAATGAGCAAGTGAATCAAAAACATGGGTCTTCCTGTGCTTGACTGGTGAAATATCTCTGAGCTCCATGCAAGTGGCCTGTAGGGCGATTTGGTTATAGTCAAAATTTTCAAAACAAATGACCATTATGGGCACATACGGAAGAGAATTTTCCAAACCAGAGGACATATCACAAAAATAATATGTCAGCATTTGATACCATTACCCTCTCCTGATTTAATATTCTGTAAAACTGTTTTGCTATAGCACACAATCCTAAAAAAGAAGATATTCATAGAAACAATTTTATAATAACGAAAAAGATTTGAAGGCTAAATGCCAATGAAGTTAAAACAGGGTTTCTACGAGTCTTATGAAGGCGAATTTAAAACTTGACCAAGTAAAGATAATGTTTAAAAAAAAATTAAAAGGAATACAAAAACATTAATATGGCCTATACTGTAAATGTCTTGTATTAGCAATGCTTCAGAGTTAAAAAAAAAAAAAAATCAATAGATCTCCAATTAATTTATTTTACAAAAAACAAAGTGCTTGGATAGCTCTGCTTCCGATCACTATGTAAATAACTTTTACTGTCCCTTCTGATATTAATTTTTCACAGGGCATGCAGCATTTAAAGCCATGACTTATAAATCTAAGACATTCTGCTTCAATTTAAGAGCTTTTTATGCCTTCGTTTGTGGAAGGGTGAATTAAGACACGCAGAAACACTGTAAAACAGTTTTAGTTGACAGAGTCAACTAAAAATAAATTAAAAGATAAATAATGATTTAAGCAGACTGAGGTTGGTACTTGGCACTGATACTGTTGAAAAAATGTGCACTGTAACATGTTTTTTTTTATTTAATACCAGATCTTTTGACATTTCTTGTGAACTCACGATGTACTAGGATTAACACACAAAATTGATAGCATTGTGAAACCACACACAGGAAGGGCGCATTGCCAGATTGAAATGGAAATAAAAATGACAAAGGTGACGGTAATAATGAGGAGCTTGTAATAGTCCAGTCGACTCCTAGGAATTAGCAGTGAATGAGAGTAAATGTGGTTATTCGGTGCATCTCTCTAGTATGGTGATTCACTGACTCATTCTTGCCCTTCCAAACTTACCCAGGGTCTGGAGTATAATGCTCTCAAGAATGACCAGGTCTTGGGCTTGTTGCAGGTATGTCTGAGATTGAGAGGACAGGCAGATTACTCACATGGTCTCTTGGTCATGGACTACATACTCACTCTCATCAAATTATTACAACCCTCTTTTTGCACCAAGCCAATCACCTTATGATACAAGATATGCCCTTTCAATTCATAAATATGATAGTTAGTGAAGACTAAGAGATAAAGACTGAAGAAAGTTTACACATATCCAACCTAAGAGGAAAAAAATTAGATCAATTCAGCCGAAATTATAGAAATACGTGGGTTACACAACCTGTTCAAAAGAAAAGCAATGTTATGGTCGATGCTGTGGTTCTGCTGCTTGTGATGAAATTTTATATTTTAGATTAGTTGATACAAATATTGATCTGATATCAGTTAAAAAGTGTGAGCGAATAAACTGTCAATCCGAAAGACTACGGAGAAAAAAAAAACAAAAAAAAAGATGCATTTAAAGGGGTCATATGATACAATTTCCAAATTTTCCTTTCTCTTTGGAGTGTTACAAGCTGTTCGTGCATAGATAAGATCCCTAAAGCTGCAAAGACTAAAGTCTCAAACCCAAAGAGATATTCTTTATAAAAGTTAAGACTGGTCCACGCCCTCCTAAAACGGCTTGACGGCGTGATACGCAACGCATAAAAAGAGAGTACAAGTCATTATAATCAGTAATTAGGTCCCCACTGGATGCAACAAATGCCTCGTTTGTAATGGGTATTATTGGTGTTGTCTCATCGCGCCGGGACACGGCATCACAGTACGGTAGGGGTGTAACATTTCCGTCACACGCTTGAGGTATTCGGCCAATCACAACACACTATAAACACATTGCATTACACCAAATACACAACATAATGTTCTTTTTAGCAACGTCATATGACCCCTTTAAGTAAAAAAATAAATAAATAAAAAGACAAAAAAATTTCAATCCACTATTCATCAAGGACATTCGAAAGTGAACTATTTCTTAAAGAAATTGTTCCTTTTATTTACTCTCCCTCACTTCAGTACAAATCTGTGACTTACTTTCAGTGAAACATAAAAGATAATTTGAGAAATATCTCAGTATTTTTTTTTCATATAATGGAAGTATGTGGTACCCAAAACTGTTTGGTTACCAACATTAATAAAAATATATTTTTATGTTCAACAAAAGAAAGAATGTTATACAGGTTTGAAACGACATAAGGGTGAGTAAAAGATGACAGAATTTTGATTTTTGGGTGAACTATCCCTTTAAGAAATAGTTCACTCAAAAAAAAAAAAAAGTAAAATTCTGTCAAAAAAAAACTTACTCTAATAAGTTGCATTTATACAAAGCAAGTACATGGAACCAGTGACTTTCACAGATGGTTTGAAGACCATCTCACATACACTCTTATTACTTACATCACTCCTGGTGTCTGGTGACGGGTCCTGAGGATTGAGACATGCATGGGTCACCTTAATCACATGCTCCAACTTGCGGGGCTGTTCTTCCACCTTTGCGGCTAAAAATAGAGCTGCAGGAGCAATCACCTGCACAGCACATGCCAGAAAAAAACGAGGTTAGAGAGTCCTGTCCAATGCAGCCAGCTGTTTTTATAAAGGTTTTTAATAAAACTTGTGGAAGGATAAAGCACATACATTCCGGTGGAAGCGAGTGAAGGACTGGATCATGTAGAACCGATGCATATACACAATGGCAGTGTTAATTGTAAGTTGAGACCTAATGGTCCAAAGTTAAGGATTTTAACACATTAAACACATTTAAGAAAACAGCACAACTGCCCAACTAACACTCAGTATTTCAAAAGGATCATAACTACTATTGATATTTAGGAGAGCATAACCAGCCAAAATTTCTTGACCAATATGCTGGGCTTGTCAATCACAGATTAATAATTTCATTAAATCCTTCTATTTTAATTCATTAGAGGTACTAGCATTTTTAAAGACACAGTAGAACCATTATTCAAATGTAAAAGTGAAAGTACTCACTCCTGACAAAGGGGAAAAATGCAGCAATTTTCCTTTAATCTAAGGAACATCATTAATCTCAAATAAAACAGAATAACTCATATTCTCTCTATTATTATATATTCCATAACTGTATCAGAACTTCTCTCCAGCAGGGCAAATCAAGGTATGTTTAATTAACACTAACAGATATAGGTTTGGAAGGGCATAGATAACAAATAAATCTAATAATAAGGTGTAAACAAATGGTATAATGAAAAAATAATGGACAATTGAGTGGGAATGGCAGTGACACCGGCTGCGCTATTGTTCAGTAGGAGAGACACCTCCAGCTAGGCCCTGCGGCCTAAACTAAACCAAAAACTGGGACATAAATCTTTTATTCCGTTCGCCTTAATTCACAGGTTTCACAATACAAAAGCCGTGTTTACTGGTAGAGCTGTTTCAGGTCATTATAATGCTGAAACTCAACACCGCACATGCCGCCCAAACCGGCGTAAGTCTCCTCAGAGCAGCTGCCGAGAACGACGCCTCACAAACTGAAAAAGATACACGTTGAGCCGCTGTCCCATGTCCTGCAGCAGGTTAGCAGCTTGCTGTCGGTACGAGAGCTCTTTGTCGGGATCAAGTCCCGCTCGGCGAGATGGGCTGTTTTCGATTTGTTCGCGCGTGAAGTACCATTTATTGTTATTTAGCGAAAGCGAAGGGAACGAAGCCGCCATTACTGAGAAGGACAATGTTTTAAAATCTCATGCGTCACAGGAAGTGCGTCATCGCCGGCTGGCGGTGTGGTTTGAATTTAACCCGTTCAGAACTGGACACAAAATTATCTTTATTTCTACTCCAAACGCATCCATGAATTAAAATGAATCATTTTCTGACGATTTTAGTAGTTTTTTTTTTTTTTTGCAATGCCCATTACAACACTAGAAACCCAGATATAAGGCAGGGCTCTACGCTTACTTTTCTTTTTGCTCCTAACTTAAAAAATTTAGAAGCACGTTCAAAATTTTAGGAGCACCTTATAATCAATAATCCAAAATTTGACCAAAAATTAGCCTTCCCATTAGGAGGTGATATTTGACTCCTTAAAGTGATTTACAGTGGAAATTTGTTTTTACCTTTGTAATGGCATTTTCTAACTTTATTAAAAGTGTGTCATGTTTTATGTCAAATTCTTTAAAAAATTATATTTTATAAGCTTTTTAAAAATTCTAATTGAAACAACAGAATGAGAACAAGTAGAATAAGAAATATAAGTTACCAATCAAATCGGTATTAACAAAATGAATTTGTAGAGGTGGCACAGAAGAACACAAAAGTGGCTCAGAGGTGGCATGAGTGCAATTAAATCCATAAATTCATGTTGAGTTTAATGTTTTAAATATAAAATTTGAATATAGAAATATTAAGTGATTTAAATAACTGAAAAGATACTTTAAAAATGAAACTAACTGCCAGCAGGTGGCGACAAGTCACTGATTTTATCACTGAATCATTACTATTGACGATGACGAAATAGAGCAAAATCAGACAATAGTGTTATAGTCAGACAATGTAAGTCACTTAATATTAACTTCTTGTTTACTGAACTGTTGTATTAAATCAGTATTACATTTACATACTCCCTTAAAAATCATTAAAAGCTGTCACTCATCGTAATTCATCGCGATCTGACATTATAATCAACGAAGCTCACACACTGCACAATGAATCTCTTATTTACACCCTGTCTACACTTTGCTTATGAAAGGATTCGTGCGATATGTCTGTGATGCATTACTCAACGCTGCAAAAACACGTAGAAACTTTTGAAGCTCCCCTGAGTGCAATCACAAATATGATGATAATGATGATCTGGTCAGTTGCACTGGTGCTCCTAAATATTTTTTCATAGTCGCACGCAGTTGTTTTTAGTCGCAAATGCGACTGAAATGGTCGCACTAAAGGATATTATTAAAAGAAAACTAAATTATACATTCATACAAAATAATTTTACATTCATGTTGGTTTTAACAAATCAAGTGCTTTTCTTAAACAAACAAACCGTATTCAACTCCAAGGCATACAAATAGCAGATAAATAGTTAAAAAACGACCAAGCACACAACTTTAAAACATATTAAATATACAAAATATCATATCAAACATACAAAAAGTCATTCACAACTTTATTTTTTAATCCTTTTAAACGAAAAACAAAAATATTACAAGACGGCATTATACAATCAACTTATTCAACATTATTACAGAGGCATGGGCACAAAATTAAAAGGCTAAATAAAATAATATATTAAACATACTGAATAATATATTAAACTATATTGTTTACAAATGTATTGTATCAGCTATATTTAAGTTTTAGTTGACATTTACTTGTAACATTTGCTGTAACTTTATATATGATAATCATACATTCTTTGTAAGTAGGCTAGTTTGAGTATTACAATCGGCCAGCCCTTTCCGAAACAAAGGTTCTGTCGAGAGAAAAGGACAGTGACGAATGCGGAAGTGTTTATGTTGTAACTGGTTTAGTTGCTAATACAGTGGCGTGTAGTCAAATAAAATGACCGAGTCTAAAGCGAAAAATATCAGCGCTATTCCATTCGATGGATTCAGCAATGTTCGCATCACATCATTATGGAGCTTTCTACAGTCTGTAAGTTTACAGCAACATTACATTCTTTTTTTTTATGGTTCACATAAAGCTAATCCAGAGTTTCGTAGGTATTTTTTTTCAGTACAACCGAGGCCACGTGTATTAAGTAAAGAAAACGTATATTTTTGTAAATAGGAAGAACTAGTAATAATCTTGACATCTGGTTTCCAGGTTGACTGGTCTGAACCCTGGCTGATGGGTCTGCTGGCCTTTCATGTCTTGTGTTTTGCTTTCACCATCCTGTCCTGCAAATACTACCGCCTGCAGATCTGTCATTTTCTCTTAATGGGTGAGTTTTTGCAATAAAAATATTCTAAGAGAAAATGTATAAAATTATAGTGGAAAAACACAGTATTAACTTTCTGAAAAGATTACATGACAACCAACAAAATGTGTGAATTGCGAAAGTTCCCCAAAATATCATTTAAATTGATTGTTATATAAAATATGTTAGATATTTATACACCAGATAACGCAGTATTTCTTTTCTTTTCAGTCGCTATGGTTTACAGTGCAGAATACCTGAATGAGCTGGCAGCGATGAATTGGAGGTGATCATATACCCACCATAACCCCCTGACATTAAGGTGTATATGTTTTATTGTTATACTGAACGTGTATGCATTTTGTTTTTAGGTCTTTTTCAAAGTTCCAATACTTTGATTCAAAAGGAATGTTCATTTCACTAGTATACTCAGTCCCGCTCTTGCTCAACACTGTTATTGTTGTGGTAAGTTTTTCCTTCTTCTTCATATAAAATACAACAATATGCATTTCCTCTTATTAATTTTACAGAGCATGTTAACTTGGTCAAGCTTTTGCTATTGATTTAAACTTAAATCTATGTTTTTTTAGGCTGTGTGGGTATGGAGGACCTTCTCAACCATGACAGAATTAAAGATAATGCAATTAAAGAGAAAAGCTGCCAGAGAGAACAAAAAAATGCAATAGAAGACATGAACAGGATGTGCTCCATTTCATAATGTCCAGTGGTGGAGGGCAAATATAGCGAAAGAAAAGACTGTTTAGATCATTAGAAAATATGTGGTGGTGAAGGTTCTTAAGTATTATTTCAGGTTGCTGATGAATGACTACTCCACCTGCTAGCAGATGCTCCATGGAACATTTGATTTGATCAAATCACAATACTATCAAACCTATTGGACAAAGCCATCAACTGTATTATGCAACTGCTTTGTGTACATATTGACCATTCCAGAGCTCAAAATTGCTTATTTGTCTGTTGTTAACATTGAATGGATTGTATAAAACCCTGTTTTTGAGTGTCGAACATGTAAATTATGTATTTATGTCAATAAACTGAATGTTGTTTTTTTATAGATATCATTTTGGTTTTCTTTTAATGTTTTAATGAAATATCTTTCTTTAACCAGTAGAGGGGGCAGTATACCAATTCCCCAGGGTTTAGTGTAGCACAGTCCATAAATGTTGCAGTGCACCCTATATGGTCAGAGTCGCATGCATGCATAATTGGACTATTATAAGCATCTTTGAAGACCTCAGGATTATACAATCCATTGAGGTGATGCTCAAAATGCAAAGCTAATCATTATGAAAATCATCTGGCCTCAAGGTTTTGAATTGTTGATGTGCAATGATGGTGATTTGGATTGCGACTATCGGGTATCACGCTTCACTTGCGCAGTCTTGAGATCTCATCCTGAAACCAACAGTGGCAAAACTTCAAAGTCACTACCATCCTCCCGAGTCAGTAAAATGAAGTCATATTTCATAGGATTATTGACTTTTCATTCTTCATTATTCACTCCCTCTTTCTCTCTCTACGGGAAAATGATCCGAAAATCCAACTGTGGATTCCAAAATGTATTTTTTTTTCATATAGGTGTGATGTGTGATGTTACATGATATTCTTTTCTGGAAAGTTGTAATGCTAACAATCCTCCTCAAGGGTCTGGAGATTGAACATTCGTATGTTTCAAAGTGAGTTAGCTGTAGTGAAGCCAGGCTTTGGCCCAGCATTTTCATTTGGTTTCTGTGCCAATTCTATGGCCAAACCACGAGAGCAGTTACACAGGAACCATCTGAAACAGGTGCTCTGTGCTTTCCTGGAAGGCTTTCTGCTTTCTGAAGAGTCCTGAGATGTCAAAGGCCTGTTTTCTGTACACTTAAAAAGAAGATAAATTAGTTTTACGATGTCAGAGGATTTGTGGTTTTCTGACACAAGAAGTAGCCTATCTAGTGAAACCTCCTGTTGCTTTGTTAAGAACATCCTTTCATTTCACTACCTTCATGGTACAAAAATGAGCCAAAACTATTAAATCAACAAGATATTAGTCTTCCAGCATCATTGAGGAGCTATGTTTACCAGAAAATGAGAGGGAAAAAAATATTAAGTCTCCTAAACAGTAAAAGTCTATCAGCATTTAGGTGTTAGAATGTACATTTATGTTCTGTTCTAATGCATAATTATGTTTTTATCGCAAGCTTCATTCAAACATGGTGACGATACTGAATCTTCTTTCTTCGCAGCTGTGGCTCACTCTGTTTTAAAGGGTCTCACATGCAGCATCTGCAAACTATCCAACTACAAACTCACACTTTTTCTCAGCCACCCCAGGGTGACAAAAAAGTTCAGATCCTGGATAAATTGTGTATCATTAATGCCACTATTAATGCCACTTGCTGACTAGTGGAACATAAACATTTAAGCTAAAAAGCGTTCACCTGTAATACTTTATTAGATGGTAAGTTAGATGGTTCTGTTCATATCCAGTTCACATCTTTTAGATAATGCAGGGTTTCCCAAACGTTTTTGTCAGCCTTTAAGCAAAAATTTACTTGAAGCGCATGTTCACAGTTAATGATGGTTAATGGTCACATGATATGTAGGTAAGGAAATTAATTATTTCATTTTTTTATTAGTTGTTTTAATTTAAAAAGTGTTTTTTTATTATTCAATTAATTAGCTTTTCATCAATTCACAAATCCCAGTTTGACAAACACTATTCTTATGTATTACTAGCCTAAGTCAGCCTAACCTATTTAGCTGGTCTTAGCTGGTCTATCTGACCCAGACCAGCTCAAAAGTGCCCAAACTACTATAAAACCAGCCAACAGA